GTTGTACCTGTACGTTGGAGTGAAACCGTGGCCTGATGTTGATGTGGCCTCGTAGGTGCCTTGAGATCAAGAATTTGAAATTCTCTCGGCTGTATCTCCGGTGGAAGCTAGTATGAATGTTCCCTGCTTTAACTTAGTTTTCTCATCTGTAAAATGGCTATGGCCACCTTGATCTCATGGAGGTATTTCAAGTAGCATAAGTCAGTTCTTTATAAACCATTGAGTGTTTATATAAATGACATATATATATATATATATATATATATATATATAGTGATTACAAAGTTAGAGGATGAATGTGCAGGTTTGTCATCTGAGCAAGAGGCCATCCAAAACTAGAGGAAGGGAAGCCCAGATAAATTATATATATATATATATATATATATATATAAAATCCATTGGCCCATCCCTAAACTGTTCTTTTACTTGGGAGTAGCTCTTTCTGTGTGTGTAACACTCATACATCTTAGGGAAATCAGTGAGACTGGATTCCAGTGCAGCATCTGCCTGATCTCTGGCTGCCTTTACGGACCGCCCTGACCAGGATGCCCTCAGTCTCCCGTGGTGGTGTTTGTGCATCTTGAGACTTTGTAGGCCATAGATCTCAGGGTTTCTGCATATACAGCAGCCTCTCTCCCCTTGGATGCAAACTGTCTCGCCCTTCTTTATGCTCCAGAAACGTGGCTCTAGATTATCTAGTTTTTCATGTATGTGGATTCTCTCTGGTCTTGGTCCATGTGAGTAGCAATACACATTTTCTTTATCCTGAGTACTAGTTTTTAGCCTTTTTTTGGTGAAAGAGGAATTTCTTAATTGGCTCATAACTCTTCTTCTCTTTAACTAACAGGCCATCTTCCCATTTATCCCGAGGCCTCTGACAGTGTGTGCCTGGCCTGGAATTACAGAGACGCCCTGGCAGTCATTTGGTCTCACAAGTGTGTGGTGTGTTTCTTCGCCGGTCACACTCACGATGGTGGCTACTCTGAGGATCCTTTTGGTGTGCACCACGTCAACATAGAAGGGGTTATTGAAACGGCTCCAGACAGCCAGGCCTTTGGCACAGTTCATGTCTATCCTGACAAAATGGTGCTGAAAGGGAGGGGCAGAGTTCCAGACAGAATTATGAATTACAAGAAGGAAAAAGCTTTCCATTTTTAGTGTGATTTTATTTGTTTACTTTTATAGAAAGAGACTGACTTGGCTTTGTGGGTTTGTTCCGCCTTCCTCTCCCCACATCCTGAGTCTCATTGTTTAGTATTCTGTTTGCATAACAAATAGCCATAACTGACTTCAATGTGTGTTAGCTCATAAGATATTCTGAAATGTCATTTTTGGATAATATATCCCGTGTTGAAAATTGGAAAGGAAATGAATGAAAGTAGCATGAATAAACCAGGGAGGAGACTGAGGTGGGGGGGGGATACAGTCCTCCAAACAGACTCTATTCAGCCTTACCTGAGGTTTTTTTACTTTTTACAAGGAGAATGTATTCATTCACTGTATTAGCTATGTAAGTTAAAATTCATAATAAAAAAGAAATAAAATAAGCTCAGGTAAAGTTTTTCCGTTTACCCAGTCGTGTGAATGAGCTTTAGACATTTTTTGCTCAGAGTACCCATCATATTTGTACTTTTATAGGTTTATACTCCTGTTTCGTAAGCCAAAAACATCACCAGTTACTTCACAGGTGAACGAATAGCACCCGCATTCACACAGGTGAATGTGTGGTCTCCCTTGTGAACCTCTTGTGAGTTCAGCCAAATCAGGACCAAGTGCCAGTGCAGCTGTGTGCCTGCCAGCATGTCTGTTTGGGCCCCCAGCTGGTGCTATAGGAGACTATCGTAGGTAAATGAATTTACCCTTGACTCCCTTTATAGACAAACGGGGCATGTTTAACTGAGCTGTCATATATTCTAAGACTTATTTGCAGAAACACTTACTCAGTGGCAAATGGGGACTGTAGAAAAAGTTTGATTCAGGGCCTGAAAAACAGGAAGACAAAAGACCAGTACTAGTCAACGTAAGTGTGTCTGCTGAGTACCGAAGCATTGTGGGGCTACAGAGGCATATCAGTTTCCGCTGGCTGCTGTAACAAATTACCACAAACTTCGTGGCTTAAACAACATATATTTGTTCTCTTACAGTTCTGGAGGTCATAAGTCTTAAATCGTCTTCACTGGGCTGAGATCAAGGTGTTATCAGGGCCATGCTCTCTCGGAGGCAGAATCGGGTTTCCTTGCCTTTTCCAGCTTCTAGAGCTGCATCTCTTGCATGTCTTGGCTTATGGCCCCTTCCTCCATCTGCAAAGCTAGCAATGCAGCTTTTTCCAGTCTCTTGCTGCTTTGTTGTCAGAATGCCTTTCTCCCCTTCCGTCTGTAGTGAAATATCCCTGCGCCTCCCTCTTATATTGTAATTACATTGAGGGCCCACCCAGATAATCCAGGATAATCTTCCCATCTCAAGATCCTTAATCACATCTGGGAAGTCTATTTTCTGATATAAGGTAACATTCAAAGGTTCTGGGGATTAGGACCTGGATACCTTTGAGGGTCATTATTCAGCCTACTGACGTGACTATAATGCGCTCCCTGCCTTCACTGACTTTCCACAAGTGAGAGAGAGAAACAACCCTGCATACAAACGTATGAAGAAAGGACAGTGGCAACATGGAGGAGGGATTTATTTTTGTTTGAAGGGAATAGGGATGACTTGAAGAAGGAAGAAAAATGGTTTAAATAGGTGTGCGGGTGCATTTCATGTAGACAGAACAGCGTAGCATCACAGGATATGCTGAGTTCAGGAACTGCAAGTAATGCTATGAGGATTCACCAAACGGCGCTGGGGGATGGCAGGCGGTAAAGCAGGAAAGGACAAGCTAGGGCTACGTGGTGAAGAGCCTGAGTGACGAGCCAGAGTTAGAACTAAACTTGTCAGGCAGGGAGGAACCCTCCGGTGTGTGAGCTGGGGAATGTGTGAGGAAATTTGTGTCAATTCCAGGCAGTGGATAATGAGAGGCTGATATAGGAGAATGACAATGGGGAGAGAAAAGATTGTGAGGGTGGGAGGACAGAGATTTTGACAATAGAACTATTAAACTTACTAATAATACTTAAATTCAATTGAAAAATAGAGTTGAAAAGCAATTTCAGTAATACTCTTCAAAAGGCAGTACTTTACCAAGTTACTGCCTTTTACGTGCTTCTGGACATATGAGAGGAACTGTGTATATTCACAAAATTCAGTGTTATATGGGAGATGCAAATATGATGAAAGTGTATTTTGGACATTACTTAAAAAAAAAAATTGAAACATTACAGTCTTTTAAGCACAGAATCAGGCATTACTTGGAGGATGGGTAGGTCCTATATAGAATTTGGAAATAAATCTGTTTCTTCATGTCTGACTAATAGTTATACTAACGGAGGTATAAAAACCATAAATATACCAGAAAACTGAAATCCTTTATTTGTATTTCACTGACCCTTAAAATAAATTTTACTTTAATTGCTTTAATATCAACTAGATTGTTTTTCCTTTACCCTCTAAATCTTGATAGAGAATTTCTGACTATCCAGTGGCCATATGTAAAACAAAAAACATGCCTATCTCCTTTAACAAATATTTATAAAATACTTAATATCATATCAAAGGCTATAAAAATAGGCAAACTACCAGACTCATTTTCACTCTACTAATACTTTTTGAGTCAGATATTTCCTAAATCTCATGAAACTGTCTCCACTATGGAGTTTGATGCTAGCATATGTAAAAGAGTTGCCGTCCAGATGCTCTAAGACAGCACTGACCAACAGAAATGTAATGTGAGCCACATAAGTAATTTGAAATATTTTAGCAGTCACATTTTAAAAAGCAAATAGAAATAGATAAAATTAATTTTAATTATGTATTTTATTTACCCCAATACATCTAACATATTATTTTAACATGTAATCAATATAAAAATACTTTACATTCTTTTTTATACTAAGTCTGTAAAATCTAGTGTATATTTTATACTTGTAATCCGTCCATTTGGACACTAAATTTTCATTGGAAATACTTGGTCCGTATTTAGATATAAAATTTGCAGCTGAAGAAGTAGGTTCGCATATCCAAGTTGTTCCAAACATACTTGAAACGAGTGTTCCAAACACACTTATAAGTTTTCTCGTAACTGAATTGATGTTTTTAAATAAAAATGAAAAAATTCAAACTTCTTCAGTGCCCATTTCAAGCGCTCAATACAACATGCAGCTAGTGGCCACCAGACTGTACAGCTCTGAAATGATCTTCTCTCCAGGGCTACTTTTGACATTAAAATATGTGTCTAGATTTTTGGTCTTATTTTTCATTTAAAATGTAATTAATATTCTCTCTCTCCTTCTTTTTGGTCCCACATTCCTTTATTCTAGCTAACTTTCTTTCCAAGACATGCTTGTTCAATTGGCTCATCTGGAGTCCTCATTTAATTCACGGCGCTGTACCAGTTCAGTATACTGAGGTTAGTTCAGGGGTACAGCCCTCTCCTGAACTCTTTCTATCATTACCCAAACGCTGCTTCCCTCTATGTTATCAGGCGCAGCCCTTTGTCAGCTCTTTATATTTTGAATGCTCTCATATTATCTCGGTTATAAACCTTGCAACTATATAAATAAGTAGGAGGTCTGGTAGTAACCCTATTTTATAGATAAAGAATTATCCACGGGAGGTTTACACATTTGCCCAAGTCACATGGATAGTGACGTAGCTGAGTTAGAATTTATATTTCTGAACTTTTGTTTTGCCTTTTCCACTACACTGTGACACAACAGAATGTCAGACTCCTCCTCTTACTAGTCCCTTCCGGTCCTGTGTTGTAGGCAGCCTAACTTAGGATTTTTAAAAAAAATCATCTCTAGTATTAACTCAAATTACCTGAAATAAATTCCTAGGAAACTGGCATGTTACAATCATGTTTACAAAAAATTGTAAACTCTCATTTTAAGAACAGGATTCTTCATTTAAATTACTGTCTTGCAATGAGTTGGCCAGGAGGACCGCATCTCTTTGTTTATATATACATAGACCCATGAGATCAATGGGAAAAGAGCAACTATGATAGCAATAGCCAACTGAATTCTTCCACCAACTGGGTTCCTATAAAGACACACAAAAATTATTATAAATAACAATCCAATAAAAATTATGAATTGCTTTGGTAATGAATATGAAGATTGATTTTACTAAAACACATCATTACATTTTTGTACGGTCTTTTTAATTTTTTAAATTGAAATATAATTCTTATATTTCATATAAGAATTATATAAGAAATATAATTCTGCATTTCAGCGACCTCAGTTGAAGGTCATTGATAATGTTAAAGTGGATCTTTACATAATGATTTTTGTGTCCTGTTTAAGAAAACTTTTCTTCCCCAAGGTCTTAAGGATACTAGATTATCTTCTCTAAAAGTTTTATTGTTTTGCTTTTCACATTAGATCTATAATCCACCTAGAATTGATTTTTATGAAAGTTTTAAGGTGTAGGGGTTGTTTCACTTTTTTCCATATGGATATTCAATTGCTCCAGCACTATTTATTGAAAAGATTGCCTTCCTTTGCTACCCCGGAGTGCCACCATTGTCCTAAGTAAAGGCCATATACATACACACACACACACACACACACACACACACACACACACACACATATAGATAGATAGATATAGATATAGATATAGATATAGATAGATAGATCTGTTTCTAGGTTCTATTGTTTCATTCATTTATTTTTCCAGTATGGGTTTATCTTATACTGCCATAGGATAATTATTTAGGTGTTCTTTATTTTAATATTGAGGTCTTTAATTTCTCCCATAATGTTTTACAGTTTTTATAGTTTTGTATGCAGAGATTTTGCACATCTCTGCTAGATTTATTCCTGGGGAGTTGATTTTTTGATGCTATAAATGGTAACTTTTTGTTTTTATCATTTTCTGTTGCTTGCTGATAAAAATAGTTGATTTTAGTATATTGACCTAGTATCCAGCCATCATGCTAAACTCGCTTATTTGAATAACTTTTTAGATGTTTAGAAATTTTCTACATATGTGATTTTGTCATCTGTGAATAAGGAACATTTAATTTTGCCTTTCCAGTCCTTGGGGGCTTTTCTTTCTTTTTCTCGCCTTACTGTACTGGCTATAGGACGAGAGATAGAACAGTGTTGAGTAGAACCAGTGGCAACAGTGGCTACGTCTCATTCCTGATCTCAGAGGAAAAGTTTTCAGCTGTTCACCATTAAGTATCATGCTGTGGTATAGATACCCTTTAACAGGGTAAGTTCCTTTCTAAGTCAATTTTTATGAGCTTTTATCATGAATGGATGTTGAATTTTATCAAATGCTCTTTTTGTATAGGCTGAGAAGATAGTTTATTTTCTTTCATTCTGTTAATGTAGTGAAAAACACTGGTTGGTTTTCAAATGTTAAACTAACTGTATTCCTAGAATAAACACAACTGGGTGGCTGGGTCATGAATTGCAGGACTGATTTGCTAATGTTTTTGTTTTTTTATTTTTTGCTAATATTTTGTTTAGGGTTTTTCCATCTGTGGTCATGAGTGAGATTGCTGTGTAATTTCTTTTTTCTTTCGTTGTTTTTTTTTTTTTTTGGTTGGGGGGTGGGGTAATGTTCTTGTCAACTTTTGGTGTCCAGATTTTTCTGCCCTCATAAAAGAAATTGGAAAATGTTTCTTCTTTTTCTGTTCTCTGGAAGAGTCTGTTGAAGGTTGGCATTATTCCTTCCTTAAATGTTAGGTAGAATTCTGCAGTTATGCCATTTGGTCTAGAGTTTTCTTTCAGGAAAAGTTTATATTATGTCCTCAGTTTCTTTAATAGTTATGAGACTGTTCTGAGTATTTCTTCTTGTGTCAGTTCTGGTAAATTGTATCTTTCAAGGAATTTGTCCATTTCATCTACATTTTCAAATTTATTGGGGAAAAGTTGTTCATAATATCCTCTTACGATTTTTGCAGTGTCTGTTACATGGGTAAATATCTTGGTCTTTTTCATCCGAGATTAGTTATTTTTGTGCCTTCCTTTCCTTGCTCTCACTCTAATTATTTTTCCTTTTTTAGTCTTGCCAGGGTTCATCAGTGTTATTTATCATTTCAGAGAATGAATATTTGGCCCTCTTACTCCTTTATTTTTTAATGTTGATTTTTTCATTTCATTGGTTTCTGCTTTTATATTTATTTTCTTGTTTCCTTGGGCTTAATTTACTGTTCTTTTACTAACTTCTTGAACTGGAGAGTTCCTAACTTCTTTGAAGCTTAGCTCATTGCCTTTCGGCCTGCCTAGTTTTTGTTTTGTTTTAATATATGTATTTAATGCTATAAATTTCCCTCTAAGCCTGCTTTTTAGCCACATCCCACAAATTTTAATATGTAGTCGTCTCCTTATCATTCAGTTGAAAATATTTTCTAATTTTCATTGTGATGTGTTCCAAATGTTATTTGGAAATATATTTCCTAATTTCCAAACATAAGTGGCTGTCTAATTATTATTTTTGTTAATGATTTCTAGCTTAATTGCACTGTGGTCAAAGAACATACTCCATAAGATTCCAGTTCTTTGAAATTTGTTGGAACTTATTTCATGGCTCAACATAAAGTCTTTTTGCAAATGTTCAACGTTTACTCGAAAAAAAATGTGAAATCTGCCATTCTTGGTGCTGGTATTCTATATATGTCCTTTAGGTCAAGTTTCTTATTGTGTAGCTCAAATTTTCTATATCTTTATTGATTTTTAAAATCTTCTTGTTCTATTAGTAACTGAAAGAAGTATATTAAAGTCTCCCAAAATGACTGTAAATTTTTTAGTTTTTCTTTTTCGTTCTGTCCATTTTTATTTTATCTATTTTGAGGCTATTTTATTAGTTATGTATGCTTTTTAATAAGTGGTGTCGAGATCACCAGAGACCCAAAAAGGAAAAAGATAATATTGGATCCGTTCTTTTTGCTGTTAACACTAGGATAAACTCTCAATCGGTCAAAGATTTAAATGTAAAAATGAAACCATACATGTATTAGAAGAAAACTTAGGTAAGTTACTTACAATCTGAGAGGAAGGAAAGTTTTCCTAACTATGACTCAAGATCCAGAAGCAATAAGGGAATGGACCGATAAATTTGGTCACATTAAAAAAAGCTTTTTTTTCATGGCAAAGTGTACTTTGCATAAGCAAAGTAAAAGGACAATAAGAAACTGAAAAATAAATTTTTCAGCTTATACCACAGACAGAGGGTTAATGGCCCTAGTATGTAAAGAGCTTCTAAAAGTAGAGAAGACCAACAACCTTAGAAATTGGTTAAACCTATACTCTCAGAGATGAACCAATATTTATAGAAAAAAAAAAAGCAAATGGCTCTTAATCATATGAAAATATGCTTACCTTTGCTCCTAATAAGAGAAATACAAATGAAAACTACCCATTTCTCAACTATCCAATTAGTAAAAATTCAAAAATTTGACAATACACTTTGTTGGCACTATTTTGAATCGCAAAAGATTGGATACAACCTGAACAGTAGAGGACTGGATGAATATACTGTGGACCTATCAGCAGAATAAGGAAAGTCTTTATATACTACAGGGTGATCTCCAGGATCTAGTAAGGGGAAATCAAGAATACAATTTTGTATAATATGCTACCACTTATCTAAGACAAGCAGGAATACCAATGAATGTACATATTTGCTCCATTAAGAAACCATGGAACGGGGCTTCCCTAGCGGTGCAGTGGTTGAGAGTCCGCCTGCTGATGCAGGGGACGCGGGTGCGTGCCCCGGTCCGGGAGGATCCTGCGTGCCGCGGAGCGGCTGGGCCCGTGAGCCATGGCCGCTGAGCCTGTGCGTCCGGAGTCTGTGCTCCGCAACGGGAGAGGCTGCAACAGTGAGAGGCCCACGTACCGCAAAAAAAAAAAAAAGAAAAAAAGAAAAAGAAACCATGGAAGGATGAACCATAAAGTTGAAAAAAGTTTCACCTATAGAGAAAGGGAGGACATAGGGTTGGGGGATAGAGAAGTTAGAGTTCTTTGAATGTACTCTGTCTTGTAGATTTGACTTTGGAACCACGTAGATGTTTTATATAATTATAAAACAAAATTAATATATTTTTAATAAAGTATCCCTAGAAATTGAAAGTCAAATGAAATAAATGAACTTAACTCTCTATTCACTTGGTGGGATTAGCACACAGAGTTACTATTCCAAGTAATTTGAATGTATACCCCTTAGAGAGATGTTCCCTAGAAACAGCAACACAAAATACCTATTTTCAGTAATTATATTGTTATTCTGAGATTGTGTTTGTATTGTGGGATGAGTCAGATGAGTTATGTTGAGGTCACTGAGACTAGAGATTTTTTGACATGATTAAAAGTAAATACAGATTTAAGATTGCTGATAAGGTCAGATGAAAACTTGTGTTCCTGAATTTGAATTCTAGGATCGATATGAACTCATAAGGGATTTTATCTTTAACTATATATGTAAAAAAAAACCTATATATATATATACCTCTTTATATATGTAATATACACACATATACATATGTATACATATATATTTATGACACACATACATATATATACATACCTATGCACATATATGTGAATTTTCCTAGTTCTGCCCGCTAAAAGAACCCAACTCAACCCAGCAGCAGTGAGCACCATCTGTGCCCAGAATGTGACCTCTAAATACCATTATTACCTACTGAAAGTAATGAGGGCTTTTTGGAAAAATGGTTGATTCCAGGTCTGGGGCATAAAATGTACAATCTTAGCTTGGAACATTTTGTCATACCAGAAAGCAAGGAAGCAATCAACGTTTACTAGGGTCGTGTCAAACAGAGTTCTGGTGCCAACCTGAGTAAGTGCCCCTGGTCAAAGATGAGACAGTTTAAGCAACTGCCATGGACTGAGAAACATCAAATATCTTGAAATCCATGACTTTATAATGGTATTATTAAAAAAAACAAAACGCATCGGTCACTTTTGGAAGGTGCCCAGGCAAGAAAAACTCATTATTCTGAAAACTGGTAAATTAAGAGAGTCAACTCCTTTTCCTCTTATGATCTGCGTCTGAGTAGTCCAAGAATTGATAAGTGGAACTTTTCCAGATAATAATCAAGGAGTGGTATACTTAGATTATGACCATTTTGCAACTCAAATGAATTAGTGGATTTAGGCAGTGATCATCAAAGATTTTATATTAACATTACAGAGAGACAGCTAGGTGTTATGCACATTATGATGGAAGTACATAACACCACCCGTGAAGTGGTCTTGCTTAGTGACGATGATGGTAAGAAGGAGGAGGAGGAGGACAAGGCGACCGGAATCTGGCCAAGTTTCTAGATCTTGCCACCAATTTACAGGAAACGTGAAGCACAGAGGAACCAGCATTTATAATACAATTGTGAAAATATAAACATTGGCTGGAAAACTCCCAATACTGAGGAATTACTGTTTTATTTTTGTGTGTGTGATGATGGTAGAGTGGTTATTTTTTAAGTGCTTATCTTTTAGAGAGACATACTGAAATATATAAAACATAAAACAGCATGTTGTTTGAGATTTATTTCAGAATAATCAGGGCAGTGACAGATGATACAAGATTGGATGTATAATGATAGTTGTTGGAGCTGGGTGATGAGTACGTCTGATTCATTATATTAGTCTCTCTGCTTTTGAATGTGTTTGAATATTTCAAAATAAAAAATTAAAGCAGAATGTTTTTTGAATTGCCAAAAAAGTCCTCCTTTTTTCTAATGCTGACCTTAAAATCTGCTTTTTAAAATTAAACTGTCTATACTGGCTTCCGTTTTGTTGGTGTTTGTATAGTATGTTCTTTCCGTCTTTTGACTTTCAGTGTTTCTGTTTCTGTATATTTGTGTTCTCTTTTGTAAGCAGTGTTTAGTTTTTAATCTTTTATCCATTTTGAAAACCTTTATTGGAATATTTGGAACAATTACATTTAATGTAGTTTCTCATATATTTGAGTTTAATTCTCTGTCTTAACATCTGCTTCTTATTTTTCCCATCTGTTCTTTTTCTCTCCTCCTTTCCTGCCTTCTGTACTCCTTTTCTTTCAGTGGTTACCCTAGGGATTACCACATGAATCCTTGACTTATCAAAATCTAATATAAATTGATACTTTTACCCTTCCCAGATAATTCAAGGGCCTTAGAACACTTTAGCTCCATTTATCCCCTTCCAGCTTATATCCTACAGTTGTCATGTATTTTTTATTTTTCTATTATTGTTTTATAAAGTTAATATTCACTTACATGTACCCACAGTTTTATATATTTTGTTTGCTATTCACTTTTCCCTAAATATCCAAGCATCCTTTTGAGATCACTTTCCTTCTCTCTGGAGAATAGACTGGCAACTACCTGTGATGACACAGGAAACTGTGGTATTCATAAAAGTATGAATGATCATGAAACACTGAACCGACTCTTGTTAGCTTCCCTTGTGAAAAGCAAAGATTTCTCTCAGAAGATTCCTGTTTACAGTTGTGTCAATATTCTCACGTACCTACTTGATCTGACCAACCTTAAACGCATCTGATTTTAACAGTTGAGTTGAAAACTTACTTTGATGAGCTGTGGCACAGGCTCAGCCATGCTGTGATAATCACCAGACCAAAGAGCTCCCTATAAAATAGCATAGATTTCATATTTTGAAGTGGCTGCGAAGTGTCATTTTCTCCCTGACACCTGATTCTGCTGATTGTCTGATGACTTCCTCCAAGATGTATAGCATCTACAAAATATTTTCAAGTCTAACCATGACTCATAAATTACTTTTTTCAGATCTTTTAAAGCCCTATATGAAAATAAATTTCATCTTATGAGGCAGGTAAGAACTTCATGACTGTTCCCCAGTTTATAGGTGAACAGAGAAACAACAACAAAAAACAAACAAAAACATATATAAATCACTTACTTCACGTCATGGGGAGGAATACCACAACCAAGAAGACAATCCCAGATTTGATCAGGCACTCTTTTCACATTGTTTTAGAGGGGTCACTGTCAGGCAGGTTGAGCTCAAATCAGTCATTTAAGCACAGATTGCAGGAGATTGGGTCACGTCTTAGTGGAGTGGAATGACTTGTAGTGTGAGTCTAATGATTTTGGGGTGGGCATATGCTTCTAGAAATATGTGTTAAAAGGTGGTATCTTTTACATAGCGTAGCAAATAATAGTATTTGGCCAAATACCACCAGAAGCCCCCACTTTGATTTCACTGCGCCTCATGGGCTTCAGGTTGGTGGAGGTGATTGAAACCATTTGGTCCGCATTCCCATCAACTGACCCAACCTGATCTAGTTTTCCAAAGATTAGGGCCTGTAATGTAGCAGCACCTCACCAGTGGGACTTAAGCTACAGGTCTCTCAACTTTGGTGTTGGCAGATGTTACCAGTGGGATAGAAAGGAAAGGAGGGGGCTGTTCGTGAGACCAGGGAGTCAAGGGTGGGAGGAAGCAAAGGAGGAGGTGATAAAACAAGAGCCAATGGTGGTGACAAAAGGAGAGGACGTGAGATATATAAGGGCACGGCTGGCAGAGGTTGACCTCTGATGGGGCTGATCACACGCGTAAATAAGATTCTGGCTTGAACCAGGACTGAATCCGAAGGCTGATGGAGTTTTCACCTCATTAGACCGGACTGAATGTTACTGTATGTGATCCTTGCTCGTTACAAGGGGGTCAGGGTCCAACTGCCCGACGATAATATAATGCAACGTGTAGCAGTGATCACAGGTTTGGTAGGCAGTGCTGGCTTTGAATCCTGGCCCTATCATTTCCTCAGTTTCTTCAGCTTATAGAGGAGATAATATCTTCCCTGCTTCTTACGGTGTTGGGGGAATGAAATCATCGTCATGCACAGATAAGGTGTCGTAAAGGAACAGATTTCTCAGTTCTTCCCCACCCCTTCCAAAGAGCAAAAAATCACTGCTCACCTGCCTTCTTCCTCATGCAAGATGTTCTGTTTTGTATGAAGCAAGAGGTTGTATGCCAAGCCAACACCCCACACGATACAGAAGAATATGTGTATTGCAGAGACACTCTTCCAAATAAAGTCACCTAAAAACAGATATCCTGGTGCTGTTAATCGTGGAATCACATCCCAGAGAAAAATGGTCTCTTTGTATTGCTTTGCCATAATCTGCCTTCAAGTAAAGCATTCAGAAAAGGCTGGGGGTTTTTTGTTTCGATTTGCCCTCAAATCAAAAGGTTAAAACAGTACTTATAAATTTAAGCGGACATTTTATTATTTTGGTTGTCCAGCATCTCCCCTTCCTATGATGACGACCCTTATTTTTTCTGGGGATCCACCCTTCCCACACTCGTGGTCTATGTGTCCCAGACAACTGGACCTTAGCGAGGACAATCAATGTATTCCAGCCCCTCAGTGACAGTGATTTGTCTCAGGATAAACAGATAACGAATCAGGGCCAACAACTCCATTCTGAGCTTTTGTGGAGCTGTTATCAGGGAAGTGGCTTCTAGATTCTGTTGGAGCCAGCATGGTGAAGCTGTGACCTTTGTGTGGCAGGGCGGCCACGTGGAGCCCAGGGCTGAAGTGCAGTAGATGTGGAACTAAGACTGCAGACAAATTTAAGTTCTGAGCCGCCACCAGTGCCTGAAGCCAGCACCATCCCAGCCTTTTCAGTAAAGGATCCCAGTACATCTCCCTTCATCTTATAGGCCATTTGAGTTGAGTTTTTTTCCTTGCTTGCAACTAATGGAGTCCTAACTGATACACCTTGAAGATGTAAACAGAGATCTAGGGGCCTTGTACAAGGAGCCCGAGCATCTGGGGGATGGGAATTTTCCCCACCCAGCTGGGAATCATTAGTCCTTATTCTAAGGCCCTGAGAATTTTCAAGCCCCACTAGTAGAAGCTGATTTAAAGAAAGTGACAAATAACCTGCTGGACTAACATTCCCCATTAATAAGAGAATGTTAGTAAACAATGTAAAAAAAAATTTTTTTTTTTCTGTTCTAAGACACTGTTTCATAGAAGGAAACTGTCCAACTAAGGTTTACTGAGTTTTTAGGGCCATAAAAGGTGAAGCAGCTACATTGTGCCCCTAACTGAGTAGGTGGCCTGTGGGCAATACAAACTGCTATTTTAAGTGAATTTTTTATGTGTGTACTCACCTGGGATATACATGTCAGGAATCCAAGGAGCAGGTTACAAAACAAACATATGATAAAGCCTCTGTGTTAGAGCCATTCACTGACTCAACAAACATTAGGTACCTGCCATATTCCTGGCCATGTTTAAGCTAGGCTTGGGCAAAGATGGGTTAGACATGATCCTTTCAAGGGGCTTACAGCCTAGATGGAGGAAACATATATAAAAGTGTGCAAGAAATTGCTGGAGTTACTGTGATGGTACATAGGAGATTAGGGAGAGCAACATGTATCAGTGAAAAATCTAAAGATTTGTTATAGACATTATAGACAGTTTCTCTACAAAAGCAGCAGTTCAGATCCATAGGCGTTGAATGATTCCAAAATCAGAAAATGACTAATGGGAGTGGTACTGGGAGAGGACCTGTATAGAGTAGATGCATAATAGACAATGATGCACCACTAAGTATGGAGACAAGGTGAGCAGTTTGATTGCCGCCCATCTTCCATTAGCTTGGTGGCCGAAGAAGTCAACGTGGTGACTGAAGCCCTTCTCTCAGGGGCTAAACGGCATAACTACTGTACCACATCAGTATGAGATCCTGGGTTCCAAATTGATAAAGACTGTCTTAGTATGGCACGGCCTTATCAAGTTTTCCTGAAGATGGGTGAGGACGATCTAGATTAGAATTCACCTCCTCTTATGATCATAAGGGAGAAGAAAGACATGGAGAGCTCCAGTTTTCTCCTGGGGGTTGGCAGATAGACTCTCGTCATTGAAAGGAAATCAGATTTGCTGTATCTCCATTCAGAATCCAAGGTTCATACCTGTGACAAGAGGGTTAAGTCCAACAAGCAGGGTCAGACCGGCAGGAACGGTATACACAACCTGTTAGCAGAAAAAGAGGAAATTATGTGGGTTAAGAAGGATGCCCAAAAAGAGAGAGAGAGAGAGAGAGAAAAAAGGATGCCCAAAAAAAGAAAAAAAAAAAAAGAAAAAGAAGGATGCCCAGTATAGGAGGTGTTCAGAGGTGTGTAGGGAGTAAAGAAAGATGACAGCAGTGGCCACCACACTCCATGACTTACCTCTAGCTTTCAGTAGCAGCTGAGGAAGTGGTGACCTCTGCCTTATGGCATTTACCGTGTCAGGCTGTAATTCTATCTGCCTTCCTCCTAGACTGTAGGCTATTCCAGGAAAGACTTCTCCATCTTCAAGCTCTAGCATTGAGCAGAGTTTTGGTCTCAAGACACAGTGACCTCCTAATCTCTCCCAAGCAACATCCATGCCTAAATGGCCTTTCCCTA